CGAAGTAAGATTTTCAGAGAATGTCTGATCTACATCTATGCCCAATAGGACATCTGATTTATCTAATGTTCTGGGTAAATGATAACTTTCAAATAAAAGTCGTGGACCGAAAGATATAAAGAGAATTCCTATGTTGTAAGAAGCTTGGAGAAGATGTACCTGGCTACATTAATCTGAACATCCTAGACTAGTTTATCTTTCTTTGTAATATTGTCCACATTTTCTTTTGTAATCTACTTACTATGTCCACTTTCAGTGATTAATCTCATAGTATGTAAGCTTTAGACATGTACTGAACAACTTGTAATATTTCCAATGAATATAATATAAGTGTTTCTTGTACTTCACTGAAAAAGATCCCTGAAAAAAGTAATAGGGACACAAGTCTATGAGTACCAGTGTTACTTTTCACATTCACTGACAATCTATAAGTCAGTGAAAAGCTCTCCGTTAGCACTTTCTATTCTTGTAACTTTTCTTAAATGTAACTTAACAAAATTCTTCAAGTAAAGACTGACTCACTGAAAAAGATCCTAAAATAGTTAAAAGGGACATGTACTGTATATGTTACTTTTTCTTACTATTATTTGATAAGACAACTTTCTTTATGTTGTCTTGTTATCATCAAATAAGGGGAGATGGTTGATCATCTCTCTCAGTGATTTGATGATAAGCCCTTTTTACCCTATGCGAAGTATTTATGTTTTTGTTTTTCAGTTCCAGTGATCATCACTGAGTCTGTTTAGTGATCGCTGAAGAACTTGTATTGTAAATCCAAATCAGCAACAGCGATATTTCAAGAAGACAACACTCACACCAAAAAACCTTCAGCGAAATTCGAAGACTAAAACTGAAGATTAGAGATTGGCAAGTACGTAATCTGAAGCGGTATTAAGTGATTACAAGCCTGTCTACGTATGTGTGAAGACTGTCCAAGCCTCAACGAATGCTGAAGAGACCTTCAGGTTATTCCAGCATTCAGCGATCAAAAGAAGTTTGTTAAGCACGATTGTTGTTGTCCTGTCCTTATACACACAAAGGACAAACCCATATCCTTTCTAAATGTTAGTACGGTACGGAGCCGACTAGTTGACTCTATTACCCACCAACTTTGTGAAAGGATGTCTATTCATGAATAAGTTTTTGTACTATTCACTGTAGCAAAGGACAAGCCTTCCCCTTAAGGCTTGACACACGTTCTAACCCTACTACATTGAATTAAATGTGCATTTAATGCAACAGGTATAAATAGATGTGTTCTATCTCCATGTAGTGATACACTTACTAAAAAGAACACACATCTAAGAGCAAAACTACGCTCTTCTTCAAGAGAAAGTTAGAATCCCTTTCATTGTATTCTAAACAAGTTCTCTCCCAGATAGAACTTACCTTCTACTATTTCTTTAACATAAAATCTTTTCTTATTTGCTAAGATTAAGTGTGTAAACTTTAGATTGTTTAAATAGGTTTTTCTTACCTTATCTTTCTGCAAACGATCTTGTAAAATTTGTATTGATCTTCTCTTGTCAATATATATTTTAAATTTGAAAATAATGTGTTTGTATTCATCCCCTCCTTCTACAAACTGTTATACACATCTTGTAGACCCTAACGGGACCAACAAAAAACTTGTGTAAAAGTAATTTGAAGTTTCTGTGTTGATTATTTGAAGCTTTGTTATGTGAACTATCTTCAAATCTATGCATAAGGTGAGTTTTTTTATTTAAATTTCTTATATGTTGATATTTGAAATATATAGATTCCAGTAGATGATTTTATGGATAAAAAGGGAAATTGTTTTATCATGTTAAGTTGAGTTTATGAATCTGGGTTTTGAAATTGTACTTGAAATATAAAAAAGATTTTGCTTCTTTTAAACAGTTGAAGATGATATCCTATTTTTAAAGATTAAAGGGTTTTGAGTTTAGAAAATTATATTAAAGAACTGTTGGTTCTTGAGTTTCAAAGTTTTGAAATAAAACTGTTTTGAAACTGCTACTATAGAGGATGTTCCTTCAAGACGGTTGTGACTTCGGTTTGTCTTGATTGGAAATAATATGTAGATTTTGATGAGAAAATAAGGATGGCATATCAAGGATAGGTGTTCCATGGGATAAGGGTGACATATCAAGGAGAGGTGTACCTTCGGATAGAAGGGTGGCATATCAAGGAGAGGTGTACCTTTGGATATAAGGGTGACATTTGATTGTGTGACCATTATTATAGCTTTTACTGTTATGTCTCTTAAGATTGCAATAGTTTTGAGTTCTTATTTCTTTGTGATTTGAGGACTCAGAAATGTTGTTCTTATTGGAAATAATAGTAATGATGTTATTGAGAAGGGGAAAATTTGGCTTATGGCCAGAGGTTTTGGATAACCATGCTTTTGACTTAAAGTGTAAGAATTATAAGGAAACAGAGGGGCTCTGGTCGTTCCTTGAAAGGAACCAGAGAAGGTCTGGTCATTCTTTAAGTAGAACCAGAGGGGCTCTGGTTAATCTCTGTCTATAATAAAAGTTATTTTCTAATTCCTATCTGGACCAGAGGTTCTGTATGTATTCTATGGAGGCTCTGTGTCATAAATGTTGTATTTCAAAGTGATCATAAAACTTCTTTCTCTTATTTAAACTTAGAAAACTATTTATACGAAATGACTTTGGACAAACCAGTGGGGCTCTGGTTGTTCTTTACAACTAAACAAGAGGAGCTCTCGTTGGCCTTAGTAGACGAACTAGATGCTCTGGTTAGTAGAACCAGAGGCTCTGGACATGTGAATGATTTTAAATTGCATTCTCTATATACTTGGAAAATATTTACATTTATTCTATGCATGTGACCTTGTATGACTATTAACTTGAGAGGACCTCTGGTTGATATAACCATAAGCTCTGGTCAATGGAACTAGAGGGGCTATGGCCCTGCTGTATGATGCACAAAATCTTTCTAAGTCAAAAATCTGGTCTTTACAACCAGAGGAATGTTGGCCATTGTGAAATATGAGTTTATGTTCTGATTATGTGAAAATTTGATTTTAAATAATATTTTGGTGATCTTCACTCTGCAACTACAAGAAAAAAGGGATCTCACTAGACCATCAGGTCTAACCCTCATTTTGTCTTTCAAATATGTATTGCAGAAACAACTGAGTGTCATGATAGTAAAGGAAAAGGGAAAATGTAATTGTTTCCCTATGTGCATAACTATGTGAATATCAGCCTATGGATGTGTCTAGTTTTGAAGATATATGTTATGTAATTCAAGAACTTGTATTTTGAAATTTTTGTATTGTGTACTTTGTACTTTAGTTTTTTGTACTATGGGACCTAAGTGGTGTAAAACATTGTCATTACTTATTGTGTAAGCAGGCCCTTCCCTGGGGGAGGGAGGCATTGGCGCTTGCCCAAGACCCAAAAATATTAGGGGCTCAATTTTTTACTTCAATATACAGTAATAGTCTAAAAAAATTAATAAATAAAAGAAATCTAAATAATTGGAGCATATAATTATAGGCAAAAAAAATTTAGTAAATAATAAAGGCCCAAAAATATATTAACCAGTCAAATTAGAGAAAAAAATTAAAAAATAATAATAATTGGTCCTTCGTAATATGTTATTGTTTATTGTTTCTCTAATATTTTTTATCTCCTAACAAGGTCTTAAGCTCATGTGTTTGATATTGTTATATGTTTTGTTGAATATTTTTATCTATTTATGCTTTTATTGACTAGTTGTTTTAATTCCTTTTATTGACTATTGCTATCCATTTTTTCTTCTACAAAATATATTGTACTATTGTTTGATTACCAATCTATTATTCTCATGATTTATGACGTGTTCCATGATTTTGTGATTAATCTATAAATTTTCCCTATTAAATATATTTAGTAATATTTCGTATATATGTCATGTTCCATAAACTTTTAATCCTAATATCATATTTTTAGTTGAGCAAAAAAAGAAATTGTTTGACTTCAAATCTTTTATTGGGATTCCACTACACACCACAAGATTCTATTTAAGCATACAAACAATCAACCATGCATTGAGTTTGTAGGTTCATCCATAGTTCATATACTCTAAGTTACTTATTACCTAATATGAAGTACTTAAATTTAAGTACTCTCTTATATATAATAAAGAAAAATAAGATTTATTTTCTCAATAAATTATTAACATTTATTGTATTTAATTTTTTACTAATTAATATTGATTTCTTTTCGTATTTATCGAGGGCCCTAATTTTACATTCGTCCAGTGCCTGTAAAATGTCAAGAACGTGTTTGTACGTAAAACTCTTGGTTTTTGTTTTCTTTTTTTTTACCGGGTATGATTCGGTGGTCTTATCATATTCATTCGAAAAGATAAAGTGACTTGATAAACATTTACCCAGATAAACGACTCCCAACTCTTCTTTTTTACATTTTCAATACATGAATGACCTTGATTTAAAAAAAAGGTTTTATTAGTAACACAGAAATTTAATAACAAAAGAGTTCAAGTAACGCGTGGATGTAAATTAGTTATTCTCTTTTAAAATAAGTATTTATATTTTTATTTTTATTTGTTTCAAAATAAATGTCGAGTTATAAAATAGATAACTAATTCTCAAATTTATAATTTATTAATATACAAATATTTTAAAAAAATAAAGAGAGAGAAACTAATTAAAGGTAAAGTTGTCATTTATTTAATTAAAAAAATATAACAATTATAAATGTCTAAAACTATGTACTATTTCTATTATAGACATTTATTTTATAACAAATCAAAAGTAATGTATGAAAATAATGATTCTAAATATACCCCATGTTTTACTTGAATGTTTCCCCTACTATTTTTGTCTAAAACATCCCAACTCTGAAAATTTGATTTATAAAAATTCCAATTTAATAGAATGGAAAAAAAAAGGATAAAAAGAGCAATTAGGTGAGTTTGGTAGGGAGGGTGTGGGCTATAAAACAAGGTTGATGAGGAGTCTCTCTCTGTTTTCAGGAGTATTTCCATTAGTTGCTTTCTATGTGTCTGTCTTACATACATCAGCATCATCATCAGTAACAACTGCATGCACATAGCATAATGAGGGTGAGAGTTAGAGTGAGTGAGTGACAAAGAAGATGAAGAATGAAATCAAGAAAAGATGATAAAGATTTCTGTTACTCCTTAACTTTACCTCTTTCATCACCATCATCATCACCATCATCATCATCATCATCTATCTCTCTTTCCCAAATTCTCAAAATGGGATTCATTCAGTCTTCTTCTTTTTCCCCAAATTCAAAGACTTTCTTCATTGTTTTCTTGATTTTAACCTCCTCTCATGCTCAAGGTCTCATCTCTCTCTCTCTCTCTCTCTCTATATATATATATATATGTATGTATGTATATGTTTGTTTGTGTCTGTGTGTTTTTATGTATATAACCCAACAAGTTTACTATTGTTACAATGTGATTGCAGGTGAATCAAATTGGAAGCTAATTCACAAGGATATCCAGGTGAGACTTACAAAAAAGCAAGACTAGTGTCTGGTTCTCTCTGCTCATTCCCTGTTTCAACATGACTTCAAAAACCTAAATTTTAAAATATGAAATTGAGTTGGGTTTTTAGTAAATTCAAGAAAAATGCTAATCCATTTTCTATTAGTTACTATACAGTTTAATGGGTCTCAAAAAGATGACTAAAAGATTTACATTTAGTCTCACAATTTGAAGACTGAAAGTCAGCATATTTGACCTCAGAAGTCAAAGATCCATACATGTAGTTCTTGATTTCCAATCACAAGTTCCATCAAATATGCATAACTTTTATGGGTTTCGTTTCAAATTTGAACATTAGTACTTTGAAGTTTTATCCTCCAGACTTGCCACACAAAAAAACTGGTTATAAATTTTGTAGTAGAAAGTCAGCACATTGGACCACAAAAGTCAAAGAGCTTTATAATTTCATTCCTTTTTTTATGCATCTTGTTGCACTTTCAGCTTTTAGCATGAAACCTTTGTATTAATTGCTGTGTACCATAATCATCCAACAAGTTTCTCCTCCAAAACATCCAATATCATGTGACAATCAAATCAAGACATCTTCATCCCTTCAAAGTATTGAAATTTATGGGTATGTTTGACTTGATAAAGTCAAAGGGTATTCTAATCTGTGTGAATCTTTTAACCCCAGATGGAAAGAAGAAATCTTTTGATTGGATCAAGACCACCAAGATGTGAGAAGGGTTATTGCAGAAACTGTGGTCATTGTGAAGCTGTTCAAGTCCCAATTTCACCAAGATTCATTAGAACAACTCATCAAGCATTGGGTACAACCACAAGAAGCATAGTAGATTCAAGAGGTGATGCTATCTCCAATTATAAACCCATGTGTTGGAAATGTAAATGTGGGGATTTCATGTTCAATCCTTGATCCAATGTATACATACATTGATACAACTATGGTTAATAGTTTCTCTCTTTCTTTGTTTTTTTTTTCTGTAACGAGCAAAATGTAACAAAGTTTTGTTTAGTTCCTATTTATTGTAGTGAAATCTTTTTTCTCGTAACAAATCTTTTTTTACAGTTTGGTACTCATTTTGTTTGGTAATATTTGATGACATGAATAAATGTTCATGAAAAGGGTTGGAGTCAATGGACCACGATACACTTGTTATCCACATTATTAATAATATTTTTTGACGTATTATGGTATTTGTAACCAACAAAGTTCTGTTTACTTCTTATTCTATGTACCGATTTTTTTCTCATAACAATTTCTTGACACTTTCATACTCCTTTTGACCAGTATTCTATTGATTTTGTAACATTTGATTACATAAATAAACGTTTACAAAAAGGGTTATGGAAAATGGACGAAACACCAATTATCGATGATGTCAAATGTTATAAGATCAGTAGATTACCGATTTAAAAAAAAAAGCATTTCTAAATTGGTTGCATCAATTTTGAAGGAATAAAAACTGTTACGGTAAGTAAGAATTAAAATAAAAAAAAGTGGTTACAGTTTTGACGTATTTTTGGTTATAAGAAGATCTTGAGGGTTTTTAAGAAGTGTACAAGTTGCAATGCAAGGTGTACAAGTGGTAAGACAGAAGGTACAAGTGTGGGGTTGCAAAAGGGAAGGGTGATAGAGAGAGATGGGGGTGGTCATGTGTGTGTGTCAGTTTGGTTTTGCTTGCAGGTTTCGTATCTTGCAAGATTGCTTTTTTATAATTATTTGCTGTAGTTTTTTTATTTACAAAATCTATAAATTATAATTTTGGTCTTCTATAATTTACAAATAACCAGGAAAATTGTTCATAAATTCTGATAAATACAGAAATTGTCATTGCAGTTGTATTAGAGCATCTCAAATAATTTTTCTATTGTTTCTTTGAAATTAAAAAAAAATATTTAATCCCAATAATTCCAAAATTAGAAAATTTAGTATTAATTACATTATTAAAAATACTCTATAAATTTATAATTTTAATGTATTTTTAAAAAAATTATCTAAAATAGGGTAAAGTTTATTTTTGGTCCCAAAAATTTGCATTTTTTTAATCAATATCGTCTTTAAATTTCACAAACTCGGATTTAGATTTCACGTTTATCAATTTTCAACGATTTTGGTCCATCTATCTAACGATTGTTAACTTTTTATGTTAAATAACATGTATTTTAGTTATTTTCAAGTATTTGTTTAGTTTTATATTAAAGTTAGAAAAACATATTATACTTTAAATTTTAAATTTACAACAAAAAAATGGAGAAAAGATAACACTACATTTCGTTTTTTTTTATACTTTACGATTAAAATTAAAAAATATAATATCTTTTTTAACTTAATACAATGAAACTAGTGAATATGACTAAATGCCTTCCATTTAATTGGATTTAACGAAGGAAGTTGACCTTAGTTAAACAGAGGGTCAAAACCTTTAATGTTGGTTCTATGATGGTCTACAAAAAGAGAAACAGTTTGTAGAAAGGGGGGATGAATACAAACACAGTATTTTCAAACTTAAAATATATATTGATAGAGAAGATCAATACAAATTTTACAAGATTGTTTGCGAAAAGATAAGGTAATAAAAACTTATCTAAACAATCTTTGGTTACACACAAAACCTTAGCAAATTACAAGAAAAGAAAATTGCTGAAAAGGAGATCATTTACTTAAGCTAGAAAATGCTTGAAGTAAGAATTATGGTTAGAGAGTGAGTTGCGCGCACTCTGCATGGAGAAGAAACACTTCTATTTATACCCAGTGCATTAAATGTTCATTTAATGCAATATGGTAGGGTTAGAGTGTATGTCAAGCCTTAAGAGAAAGGTTTGTCCTTTGCTACAGTGAATAGTACAAAAAGCACTATTCATGAGCAGACATCCTTACCTAAAGTTGGTGGACAAAGAGTCGACTAGTCGGCTCCGTACCGTACTAACTTTCGTAAGGGTATGGGTTTTGTCCTTTGTGTGCATAAGGACAAGACAACAACAATCGTGCTAAGCAAGCTTCTTTTGATCGTTGAATGCTGGAATGACCTGAAGGTCTCATCATCATTCGCTGAAGCTTGAGCAGTCTTCACACATATGTAGGCAGGCTTGTAATCACTGAGTACCGCTTCAGATCACGTACTCGTCAGTCTCTAATCTTCAGTTTCAGTCTTCGACGTTTGCTAAAGGTTCTTTGGTGTGAGTGTTGTCTTCTTGAAGTATTGTTGTCTCTGATAGATTTGCAAAGCAAGTTCTTCAACGATCACTAAACATACTCAGTGAAGATCGCTGGAACTGAAAATACAGAAACATAAATACAACGTATAAGTGAAAAGGGATTATCATCAAATCACTAAGAGAGAGGATCAACAATCTCCCCTATTTGATGATAACAAGATAACATAAAGAAGGTCATCTTATCAAATAATAGTAAGGAAAAGTTACATATAAAGTACATGTCCCTTTTTACTATTTTGGGATCTTTTTCAGTTGGCCAGTCTCAGCTTGGGAATTTTTCTTAAGTTATATCTAAGAAAATTACAAGTACGGAAACTGAAACTGAAAGCTTATTCACAGATTTATAGATTGTCAGTGAATGCGAAAAGTAATACTGGAACTCATAGACTTGTGTCCCTATTACTTTTTTTTCAGGGATCTTTTTCAGTAAAGTACATAGAATACTCATTTTATTAATCATATGAAATATTACAAGTATTACAGTACATGTCTAGAACTTACAGAATATAAGTACAATCATTGAAAGTAAACATAGTACACGAAGTTACGAGGAAAAGTGGATTGTTGTTACAAAAAGAAACTATTCTAGAGATCTTAGATCTATGTACCCAGGTACATTTTCACCAAGTTTTCTTCGACGTAGGAATTCCCTTCGTATCTTCAGATCTACGACTTTTACAGGCATGCTATCATCTATCCAGAGCAAAAGATAAACCAAGTGATCCATTGAACATAGATGTAGTTCTAACATTCTCTGAAATATGACTTCACCTTCATAGTTAAGGAATATAACTCCTAACTCAGGTTAAAAATGCACAAAATTGGGTGTATAGGGACCCTTATCTGGCAAGTCAAGATTCAGCATAGAAATGTCTGTACTCTTATGACCCTTCAGGACTTCATCTAAGGAGAACCTTGTTTCATGTTCGTTCCTTAGGAATGGTCCATCATTAGGATCAAAGAGCTTGAGTTTCTTCTTCCCACCTTTCTTCACAGTTAGCCGGTCAGGGACCTTGACATACCTGGACATCCTTTTGATGAGCTCGCTGATGGTGTCCTCGATAAGTGTCTTGTGTCTCGACTTGGATTGCTGAATGGCTTGTCTGATCTCCATCCATTCGTTGTATTCATAGCGGCCAAGGTAGGAAGGGTACTCGGTAACGACATCAAGATTGTCCGTGGTGATAAGCATTGAGACCAGTGTTCCACCATCTTTCGAACATCCGCTGATGCAGACGTTGATAATCGGGCGGGAACTGATTCTCTTTTTCAGTTTTGCTTCGCTCCATTGCTTGTCCTTATCTATCAGCTTTAGGTTCTTCTTACGCTCAGCTTCTGCAATCGAAAGAAGTTTAGCCTGGGCTTGGAAAGCGTTCACCGTTTTCTTGGACTCTTTCTTGGGAAGGACTTTTTCTTGGGAAGGACTTTGTCAGCTAGTGACTTGCCCAGCTTCAAGCTGTTTTCAGTCTGCTTCTTTTGAAGCTCTAGCTCTTTTTCGGCCCTTAATGCCTCGAGTCTTTCAGCTTCAGACAAGAAGTCAAACTCACCACCACTAGAGTTACGAAGAGGGATTTTTACTCTAGTCTGGTCGAGTGACTCCTTCAGCTGAGACATCTGCTGGTCGGTTGGAGCACAAGAGACGGGTTGATTAGGTACCCGCTCCAGTCGACCGCAGGTTGTTGATGGAATATGAAGTTGATAAGTTGAAGTAATCACTACCTGAGAGGTAGAGTCTTCAAACAAAGGTTGTTGAGGGATATTGAACAATACCTTCAAGTTTCCTTCTTCAGCAACCGCCTTGCCTTTCGACTTGGGGTCCTGGTTCCCTGATGGAGTCGATTCACCTTGCCTTTTCTCCCCCTAGGATGCGGAATCCCCAAGAGTAACACCTTTGGTGACGGTTGATGGCTTCTGGAACTTGATGGTAAAGTCATCTTCATCATCATCGTGGTCGTGGCCATCTAGATCATTTATGGTGTCTGGAATGGTAGGTTCATCATTGTCTTCATCATCATCATTATCATCATCACCAGCAACAGTGATGGTATGGGCGTCATCCCTAGGGATGGCATCGACATCCTCAGCTGGAGCAGCTTTGGTGGTCGGGATTACAAGAGCAGCAACTATTTCAGCTCTCGGAGCCTCAGCTTGAACTGCAGCTGTAGCTGATACTGGACCAACGGCCTGAGAAGGGGTAGGCACAACTTCGGATGATTCGCCAGCATTGGACCTCATTTCCCCCTCTCTGGCTAAGACTTGAGAGAATTGGCCAGAGAGTTCGTCCAAGCTCTGACGCTGGAGATCCATTGAATCCTCCAGCCTTTGCAAAGCATTGGCTATAGTTGTCTTGCCTCACGCGTCTCATGGAGCTGGGCACGATCATTGGCAGAGAAAGAGGGTGCAATCATTGGAGCTGGTTGATGGACATCATCCAGGATCTATTGAAGAGACCAGTCTGCTGATCAACAATAACCTGAGCATCGTCTGCCCTGCTGTGAAGAATAGCAATGGCGTCGTTGTTGGCTTGAACAGCTTCTTGAAGAGTCTGGAGATGACTTTGAACTTCTTGAACATCCGCCTGGAGGGCAAGGAAGTTCGCATCAAGATCACCTTGACGGGGCATCTCTTGGTGAACTTCGTTGATCCTGCAGAGGACTGTATCAACGGCTGGAAGGAGAAGTTTGATGTCTGATGCCATATCATAGGCATCATCGATCTCTTCATCTCCTCCATCATCTTTCTCTCTTTCTTCCTCTTCCAGTTCCTGAGCATCAGACTGATATATCAAAGAAGGACCTGCAAAAGAAGAAGTGTGAGCTGAAGGCTCAAGGTTA